ATTCCCAGCACTTACATAGCAGCTCATAATCTGTATACCTCCAGTTTCAGAGACTTCAATGCCCTACAGATAGTGCATGCACATGGTATAAAGACATACACAGAAACAAAACACTTATACACATAAATTATTATAGAAAACTCTAAAAGAGCTCTCCACATCATTTGTGGTAAAAACCCAAGCCATGGAGGACTATGAATCCTTTCTTGAACAGGTCTTATCACGTTTCAGGCCTCATTTGTCATTTCCCCTCTATCACTTTCTGTGTCAAGGACACTCCAATGCCTCACTGTTGTTAAGCATGTCGAGATACTCTTGTCACAAGGATGTTTTACAAATTGTTTTTCTGCCTATAAAAGATATGCTCAATGCTCCCTCCTTCAAGAATTTGTCAAACTGAAATCTCTTCTTTTGGATGGTCCCTGGCTACTATATTTAAAATTCCAACACCCTCAGATCCACCCTGAACACCTCATGCCCTCTTCCTGCTTTTTGTTTTCTCCATAGCAATCATAGACATCAAATGCTTGTGTGTATTTTAATAGTATCCTTTATCGCCTATGTTCCCCTTTCTACAGTAGAGTGTAAGGTCCATAATGGCAGAAGCCTTCTTTTTGGCTGCATTTTCTTTTGGCTCCTCAGTCCATTAAGTAATGCCTGAAACACAGTAAGTAAGTGGTCAAGGAACACAGACCAGTAGGAGATGCTCCAGAGAGTGGAGCGTAATTGTCCAAGAGAAGAAGGAGATGTCCACTCATTAAAACACACTGTCTATTCTCATTCCTTCTGTCTCTGGAAATGACCTCATAGAGCACGGGGGAAATGAAACACTGAGTAACCAGAGTGGGTGCAGTCAGGAGAGACCATCAGCAATCCTCAGTCTGTTCAGAGGAAAATAGGACTGAAATCTGAGTAAGATTAAAAACAGCAAAACTTAATATATACTCTAATAATTGATGACATGTTGATGAAGCTATGAAGAAACTGGAACTCATACTACAGCTAATGTGATTATAAAATGTTATAACTGCTTTGAACAGTAGCTTGCCCACCCCCTCAGCAATTAAACATATAGTTATCACGACCCAGAGATTCCACTTCTAAATATACACTCAGAAGTAATGAAAAACTGTCTACACAGAAATGTGTATGTGGATATTCATAACAGTTATTCAGAAAAGGGTAGAGAATATCTAAATCTCAGTCATGGATCAGTGGATATGATAAGTTGTATATTATATTATGGAATATAATTTGGTTGTAGAAAGAAATGATGAACTGATACATGCTTCAATATGAATGAACCTTGAAAGCATTATGTTGACCTAAGTAATCCAGTCACAGAAGACATATATAATTATAAATAATATCTATAATGTATAAACCCAGAACAAGAAAACCCAGAGAGACAGAAAGGTGGGTTCATGGCTTACTTAGGAGAAGAATACTTTAATCAGTGGATAGGAAATTGACAACTAAATGGCATAGGACTTTTGGGTTTTTGGCCTTTGGTTTGTTTTGTTGTTATTTTTTAGGGCTTTTGGTTGATTGGTTGGTTGGTTGGTTGGTTGGTTGGCTGGCTAGTTTTGATTTTTTGGGACAGGGTTTCTCTGTGTAGCCCTGGCTGTCCTGGAAGTCACAGAGATCCGCTTCCTTTGCCTCCCAAGTGCTGAGATTAAAGGCATGGGCCACCACTGCCCAGCAGTACAGGACTTCTTTAGGGGTAAGGAAAATATTTTAAAACCAACTGATGATATTGTCACCTATCTGTGAAACATAATAGAAATCATGAAATTACACACGATAAAGGGATAAATTGTGTGATGTATCTCAACAAAGCTACTACAAGCACACAGTAGCCAGGTGTCATGGTGCACACCTGGAATCCCAGCACCATGAATCAGATGCAAGAGGATCATCCAAGAGTTCAAGACCAGCCTGGCCTACATCATGAATTCCTGGAAAGCTGGGGCTGCATAAATAGCCATGTCTCAAAAGTAAATTAATTAATTAAAATTAATACAAGAAGCATGACTTTCGGAATTAAAAGGCTCCTTTAGTACAGCTAATTATCATTAAAAGGCCGGCTTCTGCTTCCACGAACTGAGGCAGTCCAGGGCAGCTGCCTCCCTTCCCCATGTGCTGCTGGTGTTACTGGATCTTTCCTGCATGAACATCTTCTAATGAGCTTTATCACCACTCTGCCCAGGATTAGGATCTATGTTTCCCATGTATTTTCAAACTACCACCATTTGTAGCCACATAACTTTCCCTGAATTGTCGTGTGGACAGACAGAATAATCATCCCCAAAGACCTAAAGACTTTATTCAAAAGCCTCAGAGCATGTCCCCAAATTTACCCATTATTTCATCCAGCTTCATGGGATGGTAGATATCAACAGAGCAAGCACTCCGGTCTTTAGTGTCATTACTCAAGTTCAAACCTAGATGTTATTTCTTCCCACATTGCTTGATTCATTCAACTGTATAAATATGCACTAGAGACTACAAAAATAATAGCCATATGTAAAATAAAGAATCACAAAATGTCACAATTAGAAGTGTCCTTAGGTATGTTCAAATCCAGTTCTCTCACTTTGATATTGAAACTGAGCTGCACAAAAAGTAAACTGACTTTTCCCTGATGTCAGTAATATAATCAATCCCCATTCAAAGTCCTTCCTGTCATTCCTTCCTGATCATCAACTGAAAGAGAAAAAAATTCTCAATGAACATGCACAAGCAAGCAAGCAAGCAAGCAAGCGTGTGTGCGCGCGCACACACACACACACACACACACACACACACACACACGAAGAGGAAATCAGAAAAATCACCCAATGTTAATAATCTGTTAAAGTGAATTTGAAGTTAAATGTTAATGGTGTATTGTAACTTCTATTTCTCTATCTGTAAAAAATGTTTAAATACTCTTGGATAATATCAACCATTTGCCATTCTTCTCTACTTTTAATCATAATGGAAATATAATCAATATGTACATTGAGTTATAAACACAATTTTATTAAACAAGTTTAAACTGCTATTTTCTCATACAATTATTTATTTATTTTCATTTTTATTTTTTTTTTGAGACAGGGTTTCTCTGTGTAGCTTTGCGTCCTTCCTGGAACTCACTCTGTAGCCCAGGCTGGCCTCAAATTCACAGAGATCCGCCTGCCTCTGCCTCTCAAGTGCTGGGATTAAAGGTGTGTGCCACCACCACCCGGCTTTCTCATACAATTTAATTCAAAAAAGAAAAAAAAAAAGCTCTAATTTGATAAGTCACCTGTAATTAACATCCCCAGTTTTCCCCACTTTGAGTTCTGATTGTTAAACAATTGGAAAACCAAAAACCGTGTGCAGATGTTCTCACTGGATACCAGTTGGGAAGGCAAGGCATGTTATACAATTTGTTACAAAATATTTCCACATCACTCCAAACTATGGTAGTTCAGCTTCCATTTATGAGATGAAACATATTTTGTGTTTTTTCCAGCATCATAATGCCATAATTTTTTTTGGATGGAGGCAAGCAAATTGTGGTATAAATTAGCAAAATCGGTTTTTGCTTTATATTTGAGCCAACTTCAGACTCATCCCTATACAGGAAATATATTTAGGCTATTCCAGAATAACAAAAACCTTAGACTGCGTCATAAGTGGCATCTTGGCATCTTATAAATTGAAACATCATGACATTTGAGGTGTCTTACACAGCAAATGACCATCTAACTCTTGATTCAAGTGGTAAAGCAGGGTATATCTAGTCAATGTTGAAATGTATGCATATACTACAGAAGAACAGGACAGTTTATTGTGGTCATGAAGAAGAAGAAAATTCCAGAAAATTCAAGTTCCCTCTCAATGTATCCCAATGACATCTTTTTAAATAGCTGAAACATACCAAATTTAATAACTAGCAGTAATTAGGGTCTTAATATGTTTGGCAAATGCACAAGGAAGAAAAAAACTGAGATCTTCCACATCATGCTCTCATTGTGAAAGAGGCTATGCCAAAGTCTAGTAGTGAGAGCATTTCAAGAGCAGGCGGGCGGGCGGGGAGTAGTGGGGGAGGGTTTCTAAGAAACCACTGTTTTATTTCTTCCACCAAACAGCTACTTGCACTAATGAAACTCAGGTGGACACAAGACAGCGAGCCCCAGGGCTGCCCCTGTAACGCTACCCTCAACAATGACAAAGGGGGCTCCTATGAGTCTCACAGAGAGGTGCTACTCTAAAAAGAAACTGAAGAGAGTAAATAGGATCATGTTACAGAGCCGCAGCAGAAACCCACAGCTTCGGGGCACAACATAAAGTTATTTTTCTTCAACGACCTTTCAAGAGCACAGACACAGCAAATTACATGCATTTGTACTGCCTGAGACTCGGGCATACTGTTTGCACACATCTGTGAATCTAACTAATGATGACCCGGTGCAAAGAAGAATAGAGCCGGTTAAGAAATGAATGGCTTCTGTCTCTCATTTTCATGCCTTCGGTTCCACTCCTAGTCACTATTTCGAGACGTGCCCTTGTGTCACAGGACAGGTTTGTTTCCCTCTTATGTGAGGTTATCCTTAGAGTGTGCCTGCTCTTAACATCCAGTGCCCAACTGTTGAATCCCATGTCCCTGTCCCAGTCTGCCTATGCAATTAAAACAGTCTTTAGCTTTAAAATGCAGCCCAGCTAACTCTTTGCTGCGGTTGCTGCTGCAGATTCCTGGGTCTGATCTTCAGAAGACCACATTTCCAGGTCAGGGCACCACTGTTTAATCTCCCCCAACAAGCCATCTATTCCATGGCTAAGCCTAGCTGAGCGCTAGGGAGGTATGAGAGCAAACCCAGATGCCAGCAGGCGAGTCTTTGTTACAACTGCATTCAGCTGCATATTTAGAAAAAAAAAACTCTTTTAAAACCTTGTGACAATAAAACAAATTCATAGCATAAGAAGTAAGAGAATTATGAATCACAACAAACAGAGAGCGTATATTCCCTTACCTGGATCATGGAAAGGCACCAAAGCAAAGTTGTAAAGAGGTCTCTTAGGTCTCTTCAAAGACGTCTCCAAAATTTTGGAAGCCCCTTCAATAACCTGAACTAAATCATCATACATGGAGCCAGTCACATCAAACACAAAAGCCAACGTGGATGCCCCCTCCGGAATCTCCTCAGCCCTGCTCTCCGGCTGGGGGGTCCCATCTCCAGCTAGGGAAGAACGAAGAAGAGCCACCAGGAATACTGTGCAGACCACTTCCCGGGCAATCATTTTTTGCCCTCGTTTGCTGGCTGCTTTGCCCTAAGCTCCTAAGCACTGTGCTTACTCCTCAACAGCAGGCAGAGGACTTCCTCTCTGGTGCCTCATCAGCCCTTTGCAGTCTCTGAACTACCTCAAAGTTTGGAGCGGAGAATGAAAGGGGGACCAGCCCGGAGCGCGGCTGCCTTCCCGGGGCTGGGCTGGGCTGGGCTGGGCTGGGCAGCGCCGGGATGCCGCGCCTTTTGTCCCGCTGGGTAGGTCGCGGGCTCTAGGCGGCCGCGTGCAGGGCGCTGCGAGTAGCCGTGCGCGGGCAGAGCGCGGGGTCCATGCCCCGGGGAGGGGGGACGCTGCGAGCCTGCGGTGCCGCCTCCGCCGCCGCCGCGCTCCAGGCCAGCGACTGAGCCTCCCAACTTTCCACCGCTAGCCCCGCCGCCGCCGCGAAGCCCGGCTCGACCTCGCCTTCTGATTGGCCGGCGTCCGTCCCTCCTCTGCGGGAGCCCCCACCCCGGAGGGCGACTTTCCCCTCTCTGAGTTCCAAGTCACTCCGGGTACCAGGGGGAAAAGCGCTCGCAATGTCAGCTCCTGTGTTCCCCTCAGAGCTATCCCCCACCCCACCCCACCTCCAAAAATCCCAAGGTAAACAATGGTTTTCAAGAATGTGTGGCCCCGTCCCAAATTCGGGGGCATCGCAGGAGCTAGCACAAAGGGAATTGGTGCACTTTTTTTTTTTTCAAGTGTGCAACGCTGCTACTTCAGACACTTCTCTCATAATCCCCCACCCCACACCACCCCACCCCCAGAAGCTGAGACGCCCCAGCCCAGCTTCCTGTCCCTCGACCCACCATTCAGCCCAGCCAGAAGGGGGAGCTGGAAAATTCTCTCCTCTCGGCTGCAGCCACGGGATGGTTCTTTGATCTCCCTTGGGGAGTGCTGAGCTGAGAGGAAGGCAGGGAGGGGAGTACTATAGAGGCAAAGGGAAATGTAAGGAGGTGGGAGGAAAGTGAGAGACATCAAAAAGTCACAAGCTATGCTGGGGGACTAGAGAAAGAAGCTGGGTATCAATAAAACATTGACGTCCAACAGAAAGAATGGGGGTGGTTGGAAAAGAACGAGGCATACTGAATTCATATTAGAAACCCGGGGGAGTTGTAATTTCATTATCAAGATTCGCTTTGCTGAGCTGTCTAAACCCTCTGCGATGCATAGTGATGCAGAATAATACCCCCATTTCACATACCCTCTTGTACAACTATGTATCAGGTCTCAGGCAAAGATCCCCTAAAACGTTGTTCCCCTCCATGGCATTTTCTTGCCAATACTTAAGGAAACTTTACCGTGGAAAACATGACAATGTTCTTCCAAGTCGTAATCATTATATACATTCGAGCCGTATTAACAGATTTAAGAAGGTAAGCAAAGAAAATCAGTCATGAGCTAATCATTCTTTGTTTCCCTTTAATAAATACTTTTTTTTTCTTTTCCTGGAAAGGGGGGGTCATTGCATGCAAGTATACAAAGAGCACACAAGCAGCTTTGTGCTGACTGGGATTGAGTGTGTACGAGACCACCCTCCCACAGCGGGGGCAGCCTGAGGAAGGGCCAGCTCCCACCAGCCTTTTATGCTCGGCAACTGTCTTCCCTTTCAGCCCTACCAGCTGTGGAACTTGAGTTTATGATATCTATAAGTCATGTCACTTAAAGGAAGCACACGGGCCATTTGGGCTGGGTGGGAATATGAGGAGAGGGGGAGAATGTGTTTCCTTTCCAAGGAGTATTTGGAGAATGTTGAATGCTATTGGAGTAGTCCATTCCTTTGTTTATTTAAAAAGGATTTCACTCTAGGTCATAGAGATCTGAGCTATTCCAGGTGCTCGGGGAGGTGGGTGAGGACTGCATTCGACGGACAACCCTGGTGCTAAAGTCCCGCATGCTGCTTACTAGCTGTGACCTTCCGCCAGCTGCCTCCACTCCCCCTACCTTCTTTTATTCACTTGTGAATGGAAATGGTGGCCCTTGCCTAATCAGGATTAAATGATCTATAAATGGTCAAGATGCACTTGGGAAAAAAAGGTGCGGCTGGATAAATGGACTGTTCAACAAATGTCAAGCTGATTTCTTTAATGGTGTTCAGATTTTCTAGACCCTTACTGATTTCTGCCCAGTGTGATCAGTTATTGTGAACAGCATTGAAATATAGGACTCTGTGGATTTGTCCTCTTCTCAACGTTCTGTGAGTGCATTTTGAAGCTTTGTGACCAAATGTAGTTGGTATTATGTCCTCTCGATTGATAAACATTGGTACTATTCTTTGATCTAAAATACACTTTGTCCGATATTAATACCAGCATTCTAACTTTCCTTTGACTGGTGTTGGCATAGTGTGTGCTTTTACCCTTTCATTTTTAACCTATCTGTGTCATTATATGTAAAATGTGTTCCTTGTACACATCATACGACTGAGTCTTTTTAAAATTCCAACCCAACAATCTCTGTCTTTTTATAAGTATAGTTAGTCCATTTACATTCAGTGGGATGAGGGGTATGCATTTAAAACAATCACCTTTCTATTTGGTGTCTATCTGTTCTTTGTCTGCTTTTTCCTACTTTCCCACCTTATTTTGGATTGACTGATGATTTGTATTATATTTCCATTGCTAGATTATTAACTATTACCTTTTGGTTGGTGGTTGCTCTAGGGTTTCTAATCTGTATCTCTAATTGATCACAGCTTCCCTTCAAGTATATTACACATTACTTCGTGTAGGAAAACCTTGGACTGTGACTGGGCAAGCAGCTCAGAAGTAGAGTGCTTGCCTGGCATGGGGGAGCCTCTGACTTTGATCTCCAGCAATACAAAGAGAGAGAGAGAGTCATATGCTTCCAATACACACCTCCTGGGCCACTTTGCTGTCATTATACCTATTTTAATTTAAAGTGGTGCTTTTTAAGGTCCACACTACTTTCTGTGATACAGTTCAACTAGAAATTGGTTGTCTCACTTTTGTGTATTTGAAAGTCTTTATTTAACCTTTGTTTTTTAAAAAACATTAAAAGGTAGAATTTCTTTAAGATTTTATTTATTATGTATATAGTGTTCTGCCTGCATATATGCCTGCAGGCCAGAAGAGGGCACCAGATCTCACTATAGATGGTTGTGAGCTACCGTGTGGTTGCTGGGAATTGAACTCAGGACCTCTGGAATACCAGTCAGTACTCTTAACCCCTGAGCCATCTCTCTAGTCCCAAGTTAGAATTTCTTTCTTTTTTTTTTTTTTTTGGTTTTTCGAGACAGGGTTTCTCTGTGTAGATTTGCGCCTCTCCTGGGACTCACTTGGTAGTCCAGGCTGGCCTCGAACTCACAGAGATCCGCCTGGCTCTGCCTCCCGAGTGCTGGGATTAAAGGCGTGCGCCACCACTGCCCGGCCCAAGTTAGAATTTCTTAACTGACATGGTTTTTTTTTTCTCGTGCTTTCTTTCACTCTATTTCCAGTGAGCAATCTCTGTCATCTTTCCATGCGCTCCTCTGTATGAACCAGGTCTTTTTCTGTCGGTGGTTTTAACAGTCTTATTGTTATCATTGTTGGTAGAACTTTGATCATAGGCCTTGATATTGTTTGCCTTGTGTTTCCTGTACTGGGAGGTTTTGAATTTCTTCCATCTCTCATCATCGAATTTGGATATTATAGAGCACTGTTACTTTTTCTGTCTCCTACCTCACCTTCCTTTGGGAACCTCAAGGAGATATGTGCAAGAGACACGAAGTTGTTCCACTTCTCACTGAGAATTCTGTTCCTTTTCCTTAATTATTACTTCTTTTCCTGGTTTCATTTTTTAATAGTTTCTATACTATTTCTTTAGGTCTTCTTTGTCTATTCTTTACTGTCTAGTATACCAGTGGTCCCTTTCGTACACTTTTCTTCACAAATGTTGCAGTTCTCATCCATCTCCAGGAGTTCAATCAAGATCCTTTAAAGCCTTTGATGTCTCACTTTCGATCAATGACTGCACTGCATGCCGGTATAGTAGTTGGTAATCACTTGATAACCCTAGCAACTGTCTCGGTGCATGGTTTGTTTTTTCCCTCAGGATTCAGAATCTTGAGATACCAAATGTTGTCAGTTTCACTTTTAGGGTTACTAGATAGCTCTTCTAACTATTCCCGAACTTTGTTCTAGGATGGAGTTAAGAGTTTTGGAAACCGTTTTATCTTGTTTTTAGAATTTGCTCTTTTAACTTTTTAGATATAACAAAAACAGTTTTCTGTCTAGAACTAATGATTCCACATAACTAAGAAAGGGTCTGTGTCTTTTGCCCCAATACTCTGCAAATCATGACCAGTGAGAATGGATCACCTTTTTACCCCATTCATTTACCTTTCTTCTTGAAAAACGGCCTTTAGAGGCCTGACAGTTTTGCGGATTGAGTGGCCAGTAGCCTTTCGCCGTGGTTCCTCCTCACTTTGTCCTCCACTCTTTTGCCCTACCACAGCTTACACCGTCCTTTTTGCTTTCTGAGGAACTTTGGGTGACATTCTCATGGACGGGGATAGCTAAAATAGTTTTAAAAGTGACTTAATGTGACCTGATGCTGAATGACAGAACTGGTGGGAAGTGGCAGCATATTTTCATCCCTGGGGACTGTCACCTTGAATCACCTTAGGTGTGTCTTTCCTGAGCCTTGGCTGCTTTCCTAACATGGACGTATTGGCTTTCTGCAAACCTCTAAAGTTCTCTATCTACTTGGCACCTTTTAGTATTGTCTCCTACACATTCTAGCAAAAGCTCGGGCAGTCTAGTAGCCCCCACTGGGGTCCTGCCTCCACTCATCTTCAGAGACCTGGGAATTCTTCCAAGATGGTAGACTAAGGAAAGCTATAGGTTCTACCTCAGTAGTTTTCCATTTCTGTGGGATTGCTTTCTTTTTTTCAGAGAGAACCATGAAATAGTTCCCATGACGTATTTAGCCCAGTATCTAGCAATACTCTCAGTTTAATTTTATTCACTATCATATTTAAATGGCTTTGCGTGTTTGAATCTATGTGCATTTACAGTAAGAATACAAGGCATGAAAGGCGATAGATAACTGAAGAGGCTGCTTATTTGTTTATGGAATGTCTTCAGTAGCTGTTACAGCTTGGATATTGACTGCCTCCCACTGGCTTTGCCCTCAGCGTGAGGTGCATTTGGAGATGATGGAAGTGAGAAGGGAGAACAGGAAGTGATACCTTCTGGAAGGAAGTTAGGTCAGTGGCTGTTTGTCCTTGAAGGAAATATGGGAACCTCAACCCCTCCCAGTTTCTTTTATTTCCCTGCTTTCATAAGGTGGGCAATGTCCTCTGCCTTGAGCTCTACCCTGAAACTGCA